GCTGTTTTTGTCACATATTTGTGTCGTTGGCGCTCAGGGACAGTTTTCGCTTGTCACGTATTTGTGACCCTGGCGCTCAAAAGGTTAAGAAAGGTTTCATTGTTTATTTGCATTGAATAGGTTTGGATGCGAATTTAATAATTTAAAAAATGCCATGGTAGGCACCTATATTAGTAATTTGTAGTCTCTGCACAGATTCTTGTCAAAGTTGATTCTTTTGAACGGTGATTAATCCTGTACCTACAACGAGAAGAAAGATCATGGCGAACCCATCTTGTGCAGGGAAAGGAAGGCTAGAAAGGTTTCTCATACAGGCTGATGATACAGATGCAAATTAAAGTCAGAGAGCGCCCTACGCAAGCACATCATAGGCGCCCGTCATTTCTTTTTGCATCGCCGCCACTCTATAAACAGAGGCCTTAGTACATGTTTGATTTACGTTTAAAAAGTATTCGAAACGAGTACGCGTTTAGCAATCTGATTGGCCGGCGCCAATGAACCAACCAATCAGAGCGCCGAACGCGTACTCGTTATAAACTTGTACTAAGGCTAGGGTTGCCACCCGTACTTTATAATAAAGTATTGTACGTTATTTAAGGTAATTGTACTCTATACTTTATAAAAGTAATAAAGTACACGAAAATGCTTTATTTTTGCAAACATCATTTCTATTAAAGTCGTATGTATTTTTCGGTAAACTTATCGATTCGATATCGATATTTATCGATTTATGTTGAATGGATTTTGCCACTCGCCAGTGCCACTTAGACAATTTCTAGTAAAGATGCAATTGTTTAGTAAAGATACTAATTTAATACAAAGTGCAAAAACCATTAAAATATATATTTTTAAATATAATACATACTAAATAAGAATAAATTTTACTTTATTTTTGTACTGTGTACTTTTTTTTCTTACCTATAATCGTCAATGTACTTTAAATACCAAAAAAAAAGGTGGCAACCCTAACTAAGGCCTCAGTTACTCAGTTATGCACGCGCGTCTCACCGTGGCCGATCTGTAACCTGGCGCCCTGGGCACTTGCCTAGTTAGTCTTATGCCTAGTTCGCACTATGCTAGTATTTCAGTCAAGTTGTGAGTATTTAGTAACTCTCTCTCGCTTGTGTATTGTGGTCTGTGCCGTCGTAAGGAACACTGACACCCCGGGCGAAATATTGTGGCGCCCATTGGAAGGAAGCAAGACCAAGTGTTAGTTTTTTGTTGATCCTAAGTAACTAAAGTTATATTAAGAATTTCACCTTTCCTTTAGAATTACCCAGAGCTAACGACGCGGACGTAGAAAGTTTTGTAGCTCCTCTTTTTTATATATAATTTTTTGTTGTTATATTTTTAATTTTGTTTTTGAATTTTTACATTTTTAACTTTTTTAAAGTTTTTCCCTTTGATTTTTTTTTTGTCAATCGCAATATTTTTAATTTGTTTTCAAATTTGAATTTCTCGCATATTTTTTTTGTCTTTTCATTATTAATTCATACTTAAAAAATAAAAAATATGCATATGCACAGAGCGTAGAGCACAGTTCTGAGGGTTTGCATCAGGAGAGGCAAGAGACTCCAACTTCAGACCTTGTAGCCCCCCAGTATTTGTCGCCCAGGGCCATCACCCCATCACGCCCCCTGGCACTGGTTGTGGTACTAAAGCGAAAGGGATTCACTAAACACTCGCTGTTCGACTAAAATACCAGCACAGTGAGAACAAAGCGTTAGGGATAATATAGAAGGCTCATTATAATCCAATAGCGTTGTCCTACAGATGATAATGATTTTATTTGTGTTACAGAATATAAAGTAAGAAAACGATGGCGGTACTTGCGGGATCAATTCGCTGTCGAATTAGGAAAGCTGGAAAATGTCTTCTCTGAAGATGAAACGGCTACAATTAATCCCAAATGGCCGTATTATAAATCTTTGCTTTTTCTAAAAGGGCAAGTGAAAGCGCGGAAATTATCTGGCCGTGTCAAACGTCGCAGATCACCATCGGACAGTTTGGACCAAGACACTGAAATAGTCGACGCGGAAAGTGTAGATAACTTTTGCGGTTCACCCTTAGCAAAAAACTTCGAAGATAGCAATGTGGGCGACCAACCTGTTCAAAAGTTGAGTAGCATCGCCGAAATGGACGTTGCACACCAAATACTCAATTATTTGAAAGAAAAAGAGAAATTCCGACAAAACAGGACGGATACAGAGCACGAACATATGTTGTTTTTTAGAAGCTTGCTACCACACATTAATAAAATACCCCAGAATAGGTTATTATCTTTAAGAAGCCGTATCCAAAGCATTGTCGAAGAATTTGCTTATGAATCTTCACAAAATACCTAATTGATAGGTTAATTTTATGAGTAGAAGTAGAGGTTCATCTGTATTTAAGTACTAGCTGAGCCCGCGATTTCGTCCGTGTGGTAAGTGATTCACAACTCCTCCCTCGTAATTGCTAGCTTGTTAATATATAGCCTATATGTTGACCCGACCTTAGTAATATTCATGCAAAATTTGATGAAAATCCATGCAGCACTTTTTGAGTTCATCGCGGACATACAGACAGAGAAACAGACAAAAAAATTTAAAATCATATTTTTGGTTTCACTATCGACTGTAGATCACGAAAAAGCATTCTTTGAAAAAATATTTGATCTTACAATTTTCACTTTCTTACGATTTTATTATGTATAGATACAGATAATATTTATTTAATATACAGGATGGAAACAAAACGCTTCCGATTAGCGCCGAGAGGCGATGGTAAAGAACATATTCTATTTTCGTAAAAGTAAGCAATCAAATATTGACGCCTTCGAAATGTGGTGCTGGAGACGTATTATCCGTTTTCCCGCAGGGACCGCTCGTCGCACCAACGTCTCCATCCTCAAGGAGATCGGAATTACTACGAGGCTGTCCACCGTATGCCTGCAGCGAATACTAACTTATTTTGGCCAAATTGCGCGTAGAGACCCCAACAATCTGGAGAAGCTTGTGGTTGTTGGTCGGGTGGGAAAAGACCTCGTGGTCGCTCACCTACCCGGTGGTTGGATGCTGGAACACCTAACCGGCCTGACCGTTCCACAAGCCATAAAGACCGCAGAGGACAGGGGCGTTTGGAGGAAGGTTGTGCATCAAGTGACGCGTGCACCAAACTAGACACGACCTTCAGTAATGAAGAAGACGACTAGAGGAAGAAGCAATCAAATGTTTGTTTTATGTAATAACTAGCCTTCACCCGCGGCTTCGCTCGCGTCACAAAAGGATAAAAAGTAGCCTATGTGACATATACCAATACACACAGCGCCATCTATGCCAATACTTTTGTTTTCCCTCGAGAATATCAAATTTTTCAGGGATAAAAAGTACCCTATTATTTAATCCAGACTTCTAACTTTACGTCTGCAAAAATTCAAAGCAATCGGTTTAGTATTAACGGCGTCAAAGCGGAACAAACAAACAAACAAACAAACTCACTTTGCGATTCATAATATTAAAATATAGTAAGGAAGTAAGGATAGTTGTAATCAACTGCTCAAAGCTGATGTTGGATTAATAACAAGAAAACAAAAACGATTAAAACATGGCGCGTTCCATTTACACCCTGCATGAAGCTGAGGTCTTAGTACGTACAAGTTTGTTTTACGTATAAAGTAATCGAAACAAGTACGCGTTCGGCGCTGTGAATGGTTGGTTCATTGGTGCCGGCCAATCAGAGTAACTACGAGTTACTCTGATTGGCCGGCACCTAAGGCCTCTTTTTTTTGAGAGGGGATAATCATCCAATGACATCTCTCGCCTGAGTGAGGCGGGAGGGAGTGTCAGACTCTTACTGACTAAAAACCACCCCGTTCCTACTCCTGCACTTCGAGCCGGAGCCCCGGCAACCCGTTAAGTCTTCCGCGGCTCTGTATCGGCATTAGCTCTGTTGGGCTCCATCCGAGGTGGTCTGATGGCTCTGAGGCGCGCGCGGAATGCTCGGCGCCGTACACTCGGGCCTGGTTCTGGTCGGGCGGCGAGTCACCCGTGCTCGCCGTCTGCAGGCCCGTGGTAGTTGGTACTAAGGCCTCTGAAGATTATGTTTGGTTGAAAGCGCTCAAATCCGGAACTACTTACTGGCCCGTTTTGAATAATTTTATTTTCGTGTTAGGTAGCGCATTTATATAGGCTATTTATATGCTGTGACCAATCGGGTACTCTCCATAATCAAAAATAAATTATTTCGACTATTCAATACAATAAAATATTAAAAAATAATCACACTTTCATTAATTGATTTTATGAACAACTTAAGTTTAATATTGTTCCAGCATTTTTTTAAGAAATAAGTATGGCGTTGCTGAAAAACTGTGACGTCACAATACACAATCTCGTATAAAATTCATAGAAAACTGTCATTTTTGGCAGTTCGAAAAAAAGTATTGAATTTGACTAGTTTGCGAGTACACAATTTGAGCCAAGAAACGGATGATGAAAACCTGCAGGAGTAGTCTGGAGTAGCTAATTGCTACAGTAGATAACGATATTAAACTGTCTAACACCGCGAGGATACCGGTGACCGCTTCTTTAAATGTGTCTATATTGACACCTAATCGTTCTTTAATTGTATCTATAATGACGGTACTCAAAGGGTTAATAATAACAATGGAATTTTATTAAAAATATAATTATAGAAACAGAAACACAGTCGTTTCAATTACAATCTTAACCTAAACTAAACCAGTCATTTCAATAACTATGTACTATTCTTAATGTAAACTAGTATAATATCACTGATTTGTTCACGCCGTTGTCCCATGGAGGCTGGCAGAAGCAACACTTAGTATGGTCCCTACATACTTCTTTAGTTACGATCACAAACATAATTTTGTTCTCAAACAAATAATTTCAAACGGTTTCATTTAGCTCGCCCTGTCTGGGACAAATTTAGTAATTGTAATTTCACCCCCTTACTGACGACAGATCGATCTGATATTTGGTACACACTCTTTTGTGTGTCTAAAATGTGGATCCACGCGAGGATTCAGGATTTTCTATTTTAACTTCTAAACTCCCATTCAGATGGTTCCTGTAACAAATGTAATCATTTTATGTTTTATTTGGTTCTGCATCAACCATATTATAGTAAGTGCCTCCTGTTGCAGGAAGCGAGCCTCTAGCATGGCTCGAAACTAGTCGAGTTCCTCGTCAAACAGTTACGTGAGTGAGCCGAAAACATAATACGAATGATGATGAAGAATGTAAGTAGTGTACAACTCACGCGCTGTCCTCATACTCGCGCGGCTCAATCTTCACAATCAAAGTTTCAACTACTTCCTCAGTCTGCTCTTCTCTGCAACACAAAAATACAACGTTACTAGGTTCTTCCCGCGACATCATTCGCGCAATCCTCTTGTCTCCCGCGGGGACCGACGCTTGTAGGCCGTCAAACAAATGTTCAAATCTTGTAAGGACAATAACTCACTGTTGCAAGCCGTTCTCTACAGTGGCGTCTGTCACGTCAGGCTTGAGGGTCTCGTCATCCGAGGAAAGGGGATTGAATTTACTGCAAACATAAACAAAACCAATCTATACTAATATGTAAAGCTAAACAGTTAATTTATTTATAAGTTTCGTGACAGTGAGCCTACCGAAACTCCCGTGTCCGGTAAGCACCTGCGTCAGGCGGTAGGAGAGGACGCCGTAGCGTCTCTCAAGCCACTCCTCAAAGAGGGGACTTACCGCTGCAATGACAGCGAGAATGAAATTTGGAACACGGGATCGCGGGCGAAGCCGCGGGCAGAAGCTAGTTGAACTATAGTAACATACTGTTCTGGTGGTGGAGTGTTTGCTTTCCTCTTACGTCCTCTCCGTTTGTGGTTCGGTTTCTGTGTCGTGGCGGGGCGCTCCGCTCCGTCCTGCGACTGCTGCCGCTGCTTCAGCTGAGCCAGCGTCATCTCCGCCTCCTCGCCATCCATTTCATCATCAGAGGCACTCTGTTGCTCACTGTAACATACGAGACATCCAGGTTTAGTCGACACTCATTTTACAATATTCGCCGGAAATCAACGTCAAGCCGAAAACGAGCAAGAGTCGTGTAAGTAGGTGCGTGAAGGTGTGCGGGGATGACCTGGATTCCGCACAGCACACGCTCGGGGAATGCTCAGCATGGGCCTCTGAGCGGCGCGTCCTGGTTACCAAGATCGGGCGAGACCTGTGTCTGACAGCGGTAGTTAAGGCTATGCTGGCAGATACAGGAAATTGGAGGGAAGTGGCCTCTTTTTGTGAGACAGTAATGTCCCAAAAGGAAGCTAGTGAGCGGGGTCGCGAGAGGGCCGATCCTGCTCGTAGAAGGCGTCGAGGAGGTAACCACCTTGACGCCTAACACGCCGAAATCCCGCCTGCATAAACTTCAGGCGGACCTTTGGGGCCACGGGTGCGTAGAGTGGGGACTCTAGATGCCCACCCTGTGGTCTCATGGAAGACGGTGGCACAGTGGTCACGTGCCGCTGTACACAGCAAGGCTTAAAGGAGACACCCGTCCCCAGGGATGTGTCGTAACAGGCGTTGCACCGTGGAGGCTCCGGAGCAGGTCTCTTATAGAGGACCCGGTGTCTCCATTCAGGTGTTGAGGGTGGCCACCGGTGGTTTTAGTGAGGTGAAAATCCCAAACTCCGTAGTCTTTTATCCCCAAAAAAGCTAGGCGCCTTTTGAAGGTCTCCCCGTCATAAAAAAAAAGGTGCGTGAAGGTGAACGGAGTGGCTATGGGGTCGCCACTAGCACCGGTGGTGGCTAACATCTACATGGAGTGTTTTGAGGGTAAAGCCTTGGCATCCGCCCCGGTACGACCGCGATATTGGTGGAGATACGTTGATGACGTGTTCGCGATCATCAACCAGGAACATGTGGTTGAATTCGTGGGACACTTGAACTCAGTGCGCGGCAGTATACAATTTACCACTGAAGAAGAGAGAGAAGGGATGGTGCCGTTCTTGGACGTCCTCGTAAAACGAGAATATGGTCGATTGTCACACACAGTGTATCGTAAACCGACACACACAGGCCGGTACTTCACACCATCATCCCTCCCACCTGGCCGCTGTTACCCGGACTTTGATAAACCGGGCGCTGTGTCTATGCGATTCTCAGTACATTGAATCAACGAATTTCAAAATTAAAAACGGGTACTGGAAAACAAAGGATACAACTGGCGTCAATGTACTCGACTAGCGAGCAGCTCGAGTAGGAAGCGACCGGCAGCTGCGGAACGGACTCCAGCGTTCTTACCATACTTGAAAGGAGTAACCGACAGAATCGGACACCTGCTGTGCCGTAAATACTGCATCAGGACGATCTTCCGCCCACCCGGTCAGCTAAGACAGCTACTACGCTCACCTAAAAATAAGGATCCGCTGGCTGTGCCCGGAGTGTACATAATACCGTGCGACTGTGGCTCGAGTTACATCTGGGTAACTCGTCGCAACGTCACAGCTAGGCTAAAGGAACATAAACGCAGCGTGAAGAAGATGGATATCCAGGCATCAGCAGTGGCTGAACATGTTTGCAGTACGGACACGGCTCACTTCATACGTTTGGATAAGGTCTCCGTACTAGCGAGCGAGAGAAAAATACTTCGTTCCGCGAAAAGTGCGCGAGGCCATCAAGATTAGCCGACGTCCGTGCCTCAACAGAGATGGCGGCTGGGCACTGCCACCCTTGTGGACGCCGAGCTTGGAGTCTAAGTCGATCCGCAGCGTCTCTAGTCTGGAGAGTGACACAGTAAGCCTTATATGTAGCACTGACTCTGTGCCAAACCCGGAATCGAGCCCACTCGCGCCGCTGGTGAGCGTACCGTTCGTGCGCGTCAACATCGTCCGGCGCGCCGCCGCCGGAGTTGGAAGCAAACGCTCGCGGTGTCCGGCAGAGGGCGCATTGACCTAGATGCGCAAGTAACAACACCGAGGCGAGCACCAACGCTGGCCAGTAGGCTGCGCGACATCGCCGCGACAGCGGACGCTGCTCATGAGGAAGAACCCCTCTGTGATTCGAAACTAGTAGAGCTTTTCTCAGTATAGTCATGTGAGTAACCCGCGATTTTTAGTTAATTTAGTATGTCTCACTTGATAGTTATTATAAAAACCCTGAATTAGATTATTAAAGAATGACACATACTGTTGTGGTGGCGTGCTTGCTTTCTTGGGGCGTCTTTTCCGGGGTTTGAGGTCGGGATTTTCTTTAGCACGCTGCAACTTGAGGACGCGGCGTACGGCATGCTCCGGGACTCCGCAGACGCGCGCCGTGCGATGCCGGAGCTCCATCGTCGACACCGTCTTGTCCGCGCGTTCGTCCCGCTCTTTTTTAAAGTAGTGGTACACGTTGGCTAACACTTCGTCTTTTTCCGAGATGTCCTGAAAATGAAATAGTACACTTTTCACCATACACACATACTGGTTGGTGATACGGATGTACACAGACCGCTCTTGCAGACAGAGTTAACAGCATGAAGCTGTCACTGATAACTGCTCAAGCAGTTAGCAATTTCAAAGATCAAACAACCCTTGCACCCGTGAAGCGTGCCCACTCAAACACATTGGTGGGGGCACAAGATAAGTTGGTAACTCAAGCCGTACGAAGAAGTTTGTAGTTCACTATGCAGTCACAGCTTGAAGCTGTCGATCCTGAATGATTCAAGCAGTTCGTGAATGGTAGCTCTTACGTTACATACAAAAACACTCTGGCGATTTGGGATTGCATGGCAATCTCTAGCCGCCGCAAGTACCAATAGGTCTATGAACAGTGAGCAACCGTAGCTGGCTGTCTGACTAGAAATAGTCCCGAGCATACGGTAGACACCACAATGAGCCACGGACCACCACAGATAGGGCCACCATGAATAAACTGCAATATAATAAAAGGAATAGGGAAAAACCCTCACCTCACTCAGGGGAGAAAATCTCAATTGAAATGAATTAAGTCTATCGAAAGAGTGCTGCTGCTATCTTAGTTCAGTTTGTAGTCAGCAAACATACCTTACTCTACCAACACCACATAGCTACACTTTGTGTGTACTTCCTTGTTCTTGAATAGTTACCGAGTCTCCAATCCAAAGTTGTCGACTATACTGCCAGAGTCGGCTGGTGACGGCAGGGTAATGAATCGTCGAACTATAACTAGTATACTTAGTTACTTACATTCTTTGAGTGAGGCGGACTTTCTTCTTCACTCTCGTTTTTCAAAAGTCTCGTAATTAATCCGCCGCTCACATTAAAATGACGACCTGCCTTCCGTATACTACTGCAAGGGTTTGTTTTAAAGTACTCTGCTACTCGAGCAGCTAGTTTATCATTGCATTTATTATTGGTGACTGTTGTATTTTTGTGTAACATATAGATGGGTAGGCAGAACTGTCCGTAGTCTAATAAACGCTGCCACACCGCTATAAATGTCTTGTTAGACGGAATACGCGGGTTTGGTATGCCTCGCCGTTGTAAACCATTTAAATGTTGTGGATCACTATAGAGGCGACGAGCCGCGTTTGCATTAAATTTCTCAACTACATAAAACTTTATCATGGAAAGGTACTCGATGTTAGAGAATTCGTTAGGCATTTTGAATGAACTGATTAATAATCAGATCTAGACTAGCATTTAAATACATATATTCACAATTATTTTACGAGCGTTGCAGAAACAAAATAATAGTTTTGTGCAGTCCGATTGCGGTTGCGCACACTGACACTGACAGCAACTAATTATGACATTGACAGTTCGTAACAATGGCAGACTAGCGACTATGTAGAGAATCTCACCATAGACTCTATATTCGAAGAAATAGAAAAATATCGACATTGTTCATTAGTGATTTGGCGGGAAAAAATAAATTGTATAGTGCGGGTCCGGCCAACTGATAAAAACACAATGTGAAATAGATATCAATCAAAGTCCAGTCGTAGAACATTAGTTTGAGTTTGGTTTGAGTCATATATCTACATGTACTCTTCAAGAGTTCTCTTACGAAGAGAAAAGGCTATTTATAATTTGCCATTAATACCAAAGGAAGGACGATTTAAGTTTTATTTTGGTACCTATGGCTCGATGTCGCGTATTTCTTGTTGGATATTTTGTTTTAGCTTAGCGATATTCCTCGGAGTATTGACGTAAACTTTACTCTTAAGGTACTCCCATCGGAAAAACTCCATGGGGATCAAATCTGGTGATCGCGAAAGCCACGCAATATCACCAAAGCGGGATATCAATTTTTGAGAAAACAATCCACGAAGTTGGTACATAGTGGCTCTTGCAGTGTGGCAAGTGGCTCCATCCTGCTGAAACACAATTCCAGACTCAGTGCTACTACTGAAGAACTTTTGAAAACCCAGTAATACTTTGCCCAACCTGGAAATCGACCCCGAAACCCCCTTGCCCGGCAGACACACTTGCGATCGCTCGGCCAGCGAGGCAGTTGGTATAATTCTATACTTATGGTCAAATACTCTAATGCAACTAAATTTTATTTAGACTTCATGAATAGTTATGTATATCAGAACAAATTCATCAGGAAGATTTGCCTGCAATAGTTTTCTGTTTTTCTGTAACCAGTTAATAAGTTAATGACAATAACATTTTTGTTAGTTGTTCTGCAGTTCAGCGACCATATCTTCAATATACAGTTTCATATAATCTGTTATGACATCAGAGAGAAGTGTACAAATGGTTACAAACATATTATCCTACTATGTCATCACCACATATTAACACTTCGTCAAAGTCAAAATCAATCATGTCAATAAAACCAGCAATCACATTTGAACGTCAAACATATACCTATTAAAATATGTTTTAAAAATGACAGCCTGTTGGTCAGTCCTCTATTGAACCAATTCTTGTTCCATAGTGTAGACTCCTAAGAAGAAGAAAGCATTATTCTTTGTGTGTTCTTACATCATTTGAGTCAGGCGGATAAGGTTCTTCTTCACTCTCCCTGTTCATAAGCTTCGAAATGTAATAGGCGCTCACATCAAAATGTTGAGCTGCCTTCCGCATACTACTGCCAGGGTGTGTTTCAAAGTACTCTGCTACTCGAGCAGCTAGTTTATCATTGTATTTAGATTTATTTCTGATTCTAGCATCGTTTCGTATATATTTGGGTGTGCGGAATTGTCCGGAGTCTAATAAATGCTGCCAAACAGAGGTGAATTTATTGGCACTCGGAGTACGTGGGTTTGGTATACCTCGCCGTTGTAAACTATTTAAATGATCTGGATCACTGTAGAGGCGACGAGCCCCACGGCTACTGTAATTCCCCATCACATAAACCTTTACCATGGCCAGGAGCTCAATGTTAGAGTAATCGTAGTAACGTATAGGCAGTGTTTTAGTCATCGTGTGACAAGGATAAAATTATGTATGACATTTGGTTAAAATAAGTGACAAACGTTAATTCAATAAATTAATCCATGGGTTAAACTGTCAAACACCAAGCGGAGTTAATTGATGCCTTTTTGTTTCCGATTACAAACACAGCAGTCAGCACTCGGAACAATAACTAAAGCATGGAAGCCAGGCTAAAATAGCAATTTACAAACATATATCTGATGCTCTCGCTCTTTACACGATTTTGCGTAGGCGAGAATGAGACCGCAAACTGAACATAGTTCTGATAATTTGCAGGTTGTCACAACTTTCAGTGGACTCATTACAATCTTATGTCATTGGACTCATTCAGCATACTACCAAATTCAAAATCACGTTTTGACGTTCTATGTTTCACAGTTTCACTCAAGTTTGACACCTTCATCAATTTGCCGGATTATAGTACTGAAGTGTCACCGTGGTTGTATTTACGGCTCCTGATAATAAAAAATATTTTCTAAGGAATTAGCGCAAAAGAAAGGAAGAAAGAAAGTGTATGGTCGTTCTGTATTATGTGTTTTACTTAATAAAAATCCGTCTTGTGTGATTGACGGCTGCAATTCACATTTAGGAAGAAAAGAAAACAGTGGTGAAAAAATTCACTTTCATTCATAAGTTTTTGATATGTTTTAAAATAAATTACACTGGAAATACCGGTAAACTATAAATAAATGTTACTTATTTATTGTCGTACTTTTCAATTGTAAGCCTAAACAGTATTATTCCATCTTTTCCTAAAAATCTAAATCAATTTTCTAAGTTAGTTTTTAAGGTAGTGATGTGGTCATGTTACATATCGATATTTTAGTTAGGCTTTGAAGTTCTTTATAGTATAGACGTCGTTTAGAGCCCGAATCACATGATACTTTTGATGATTTGATAGAATACGACTACTTTTTGTACCCATCATCTATTACGGAATATTCTAAAAATGTCATAGAATACATAATCGGCTTTATCGGAACGAAATTAAAAAATCTTTACAATGCGAAAAATGTATAGAAAGTCTTGAGAACACGGAGAGTATTCCTTAAAGATCTTTGATATCTTTAAATATAAAGATCTTTGATATCTTTAAACACATACACATGACACCCAGACCCGGAACAACAATTTGTGGATCACACAAAGTGTTGTTCCGTGCGGGAATCGAACCCGCGACACGTTGCACGGCAGCCGGTTGCTCAGCCACCGCACCAACTGTGCAGTCAATGGTGGGCATTAGATTTGGATTGCGATTTTTAACTATAAAAACGCTCCCAACTTAAATGTTTTGTGCTGTGAGTGTCTAGTGGTGCATATTTAACATGTCTACTTGTTTTTTAACGGCACATTTCCTGAAGTATTAAAAAAGTCAGTAGTTAAACCTCTACACAAAAAATCTGATAAAGAGTTGAAAGAAAATTACAGACCAATTTCCATGATATCAATATTTGCCAAAATTGTTGAATCGTATATCTACACAGAACTAAATAAATATCTAGAAAAGTATGACATACTCTGCAATGAACAAAAGAGATTTAGAAAACATAAACCATTAATATGGCTATCTATGACTTCTTGTACATGGTTATGACAAATATAGACAGAAATAATAATGTAATAGGAGATGAGCCTATTGCCATATGCCGGGCACATTTCCAGACTCCGTGCTACTATTGAGATTTTTTTAAAAACCCAGTAATACTTTGCCCGACTCGGGAATCGAACCCGAGACCCCTTGCCCGCCACTCGCACTTGCTACCACACGGCCATCGAGGCAGTCGGCATTAAAAATTTCCATTATTTTTAATCAATGTCAGTTTAAAAACTACAGGACAGTACGATTTTAATGTGTGTTTTTACACTTTCACACGTCTTGTTCGATGTACTACTCTCGGTTTCTAATGAATGTTCTGATTAAAATGCAATTTATTTTTTTCCCGCCAAGTCACTAATGACCGATGTCGATACTTTTCTATTTCTTCAAATAGGTATAGAGTCTGTGGTGAGATTCTCTCCATAGTCGCTGGTCTGCCATTGTTACGAACTGTCAAAGTCATAATTAGTTGCTGTTAAACTAAAATAGTATAATTAAAACTAAAATATTTACACCTTAAAAAATAATAATAATGAAAAAATAATAATACCTAATGAAAAAATAATAATAATGAAAAAAGAAAATTATAAGGCATCAAAGAAAATATTTTGCCCAAGGTAGTAGCCAGCCCTTCGATCACCTGAAGTGTCAACCATCCTCCTTACAATATCTTTGTAAAGAAGATGTGCACTTGGGCCCCACAGCCCTAAAGTTTCAACCCCAAACGGTTCGAAAGCATAATTGCCAATCAGGCTATTATACTTTCGCCGTTTGAGGTTCTCGGCAGCGGCAGCGGCAGCACCGGCTCGACACGCTGAGCTTGGAAGATGGGATGGTGCCAGAGTATCAACGCAAGTGGCGTCCCATACTAAAGCTCTACCCATCTTCCAAGGGAATAATGACATACCGTCGGGTCTCTTGCCATCGTCGCGTACCAAGCCATTAGGTTCTAAAGTAGCTGGCACGCCAACGGAGGCAAGAGCTCGACGAATTATGTCATTAATACTTGCGTGTCGAGCAAAACGGCCCGCACTACGGCTACATGACAAGCCGTGGTGTCCAAGGCTGTTGACAACTTCACCACAACGACAACGATGAGGTGAACAAAATGAAGCTCCAAGCCTTAAACAAATTGCAGCGCGGAACGTGGTGTCGTCCAACAAAGTACCTTTAGACGAAGGTAAAGCAAGAAGCCATAACCCCGACTCCCACTCACCCACAGCCAAAAGGCGAGCTCTCTCTGCAGTTGAACAAGAGGAGTTCAAAAGATTTTCGCTCACTTTTCTGCAGAGCGGCTCGTCCCATTGTCTCTGGGAGAGTGATTTGACAGGGGGGTCAATATTTGGGCAAGCGATTTTCCAAGCATTCACAGCTTCCACTAAATATGGTACATCAAAATTAACCAGTGATTGAGAAAGAATTTTCCTGGTTAATTCTTTAGTACCATGGGCGGAAGATATGAAAGCCGGTAGGCTTACACTGGAAATTTTACGGACGCCAAGCCCACCCATGCGGACAGGCAGAGTGGCTTGTGTCCAAGCTCGGTCATCAAGAGCCACATTCAAAATTAAGGACAGGGTTCGCCTAATAATTTGGTCAATTTTTTCTAAAAGAAGGGGTGCAGACCACAGGTGGGTCGACCGCAAAAAGTACATAAATTTGGGACCAAAGCAACAAAACCGAATAATAGTATAAGCCGAATGCATTCTAATGTTATATAGATTTTCTGAAACGACAGAAAAATTTTGAATTTTTTCTTCAATAAAACTTGGAAAAGAGTCCTCGAAGACGGGCGCACCTAGGAGGCGAAGTGAACACTTATCAACCACCGAGATATTGGGCGCAAAAGTATTAAATTTTGTTATGGTCTGTCTGTCGGTAGAGTCATCTAAAAATATCTCACATTTGGAAAAATTTAGGTCAAGGCCAATAGCATGAAGTTCGTTTTTTAATAATATGAAGTCATTTAATACTGTATCGGCATCGCCTCCCAGGGTACCGTCATCGAGGTACCAAACATTAAATTTGGAATTTAGCTGTCGAATAATAGGATTAATAGCCAGGCTAAAAATCACTGGTCCAAGGGGATCGCCTTGTTGACAGCCAACGGCTGATTCCAAAAGGTTGCCCTGGTATAATAATTTGGTAGGATGTCTATAACATTGCCAGAGAAAACTGAAAATTTGGGGTACTTCTTTTTTAACTTCTGTCAACATAGTATCCCTATTGACCGAATTAAAGGCATTCTTTATGTCAACCTTCAGGATGATATCACCTTTCCTAGAATTCAGATAGGTCGACAACGCATGCACCGCAGCCTCGCAGCCCCCTCTCGATCCATACCCGAGTTGAAGGGGCTGGAATTTTTCCGAAAGGTGATTATTATAAAATTTGCAACAAATCTTGGCTGCCATGCGACGATAAGTTGTTCCCACAGCAATGGGACGAATACCGCCATCCTTCTTGCGAAGGGCACATAAATTGGCCCCGTACAAAACGTCGATGACAGATTCGTGCACATTGCCGGAGAGCATAAGATTGACCAAAGCCGTAAGCTCCTTCAGCAGCGTCACGCCGGACTCCCCGGCGCTTGAGCTCGTCAGATCTTTGAGATGCTGCGGCGTCAAACCGTCGAGGCCTCCGGCAGAACCGGTCCGGAAGGAGCCTATGGCAGTGACCACTTGTCGACCTGTAACAGATAGGGTATGAATATCTGCTTCTGGAGGATCCGGAAAAGAGAGACCATCTACTGGGGCCGGGTGTTTGCTCTCCAGAGCTTTAAGCGTATCTGGAGAACATGGGGCCAGTACGTCGTTAAACTGTCAAACACCAAGCGGTCACCGGTGACCGCGGCCTATTGTTCTTTAATTGTGTCTATAAAACCGGTACTCGACGAGTTAAACTGTTATTGTTATTGTCCGCAACCGCTACCGGACTGCACAAAACTACTGTTAGTTTCTGCAACGCTCGTAAAAAAATTGTGAATAAATGTATTTAAATGCTAGTCTAGATGTCATAATTAATCAGTTCATTCATAATTTCATTTTTTTACACGAAAACAATGGCCGATTTCTCTAATATCGAGTACCTTGCCATGGTAAAGTTTTATGTGATTGAGAATTTCAATGCAAGCGCGGCTCGTCGTCTCTACAGTGATGCACAACATTTAAATAGTTTACAACGGGCAGGTATTCCAAACCCGCGTATTCCATCTAGTACTACATTTACTGCGGTTTGGCAGCGTTTGTTAGAGTACGGACAGTTCCGCACACCCAACTATATGTTACACGAAAATACAACAGTCACCAATAAATCGAAATGCAATGATAAACTAGTAAATCGAATAGTAGAGTACTTTGAAACAAATCCTGGCAGTAGTATGCGGAAGGCA